AATAGAATAGAATAGAATAGAATAGAATAGAATAGAATAGAATAGAATAGAATAGAATAGAATAGAACAGGATGGGGAAGTTCCGGTGTATCAGTTGAAGCACAAAGGTAGATAGAAGCAAACAGGTTCAATCACTTAAAATCTTTTTATAAAAATATCCTAGTTGGATTTTTAGCCACGATCCAAATTGCTTTGAGCGATTTTAAAACAACTTCATATTTTTCGATGGAAATATTTTTGTCTTAAACAGAAAGAGAACAAATAGATCTTACGTATACACACGAGTTTAGGTACAGTCCAGTTAAAGCGACCCTTTTCCTCCTGGCACTTGATGAGATTGGACGTTCCAGCCTTTCTCACATAACCTTCAATGCAGGTGTAGCGATATTTGCTGTCTTTCCCAAAGCAGCCATCTTCATGTAAAGTCAAATCCATTTCAGGAATTTTTGGACAAAAACAATTTCCTGAAAGAAAAATGAAACAAATACAACTTTTTAAGAAAAATACATTAAATCACTTGCAGATTCACCCCAGGATGTAGAAATTAATATTTCAGACTGTCCGGTTCTAAGTAAGCTTGTTAAATGTTAAAGTTCAGGAAAATTTGCAACATTTTGGTTATTTGGAAGAGTAATGACGAGGCTTTCCTTCCTAAAAGGAAAATGGCAGCAGGATTTAGGCTTGAAAAGCTTCTAAGAATGAAATACAACATATCTTTGTCATAGGAACTGTTAAGTGGGATGGATTGGGGCCTAAGAAAGAAAATAAACACTAAAGGAAGACATTTAACGAAACTACAAATTGTTCCTTATGTCAAACTGAGCAAATTTAAGGGAGATGCTAAAAAAGTATCAATATTCTGTTAAATTGTTATTTTTTCCTTGGTTAGTTTACTATAGCTGTTTCTTAAGAACATGAGTACAGAGTGATATTTTTAACCCACTTTTCAAACTCTTCCTCCTTTCTTCTGCTCTTTAATCTCCCCAAATGTCTCTAATGTCTTCCTCACCTTCTCCTGGAGAGACCGCAGGCACAAATCATGGCAGTGGGAGGAGGTGCCAGACGGCCTGCCACTAATTTTCCATGACCTGCCAGGGCACCGGTCACTTATTTCCATGACTTGCCACGACCACAAAGTGGGTGTCAAGTAACAAATGCAGCATTAAATTTTCTAAATGCATTTGCAGCCAGTTTGGCATCTTGGTTGCATCCTGACACCCTGATGTTATCGTGGCATCTTCGTGGCACCCAATGGCCATAGTTAGAAATAGTGTAAATAAAATATGATTATTTAGAAGAAGTTATAGACCAGAGGTCACGGATTAGTGGACCACGGTCCGGATCATGACCCACCTGCTGGCTAATCTGGACCCAACCTGATGTAAAACAAATTACCACATGCTGTCTGACGACAGTGTCTAAATTCATTTGCGCTGCTTTTCCTGTTAATATGGTAAAGCCCTCTGGTGCGTCTGGCACCAGGCTACACGTGATACAAATTAGCCAATAAGCTGCTATCAGTCTGGGTTGCTGCTGCTGCTACTTTTAGACACAGCAGGCAAACCTGTGGCAAGCCGGGCGATGGGAAAGAAAGAGAAGATGATGAGAAAAAGAGAGCAGAGAAAGTGTGGACTGCTGGAAGAGCTGTGGTGAACTGGTTACAGAAAAGTGAAATGGTGCTCAGAGATGACCCTGCACATTATGAGTAAATTTGGTAAAATGTGTGAATCAGGAAATTGTCTATCTACCAAACTGAAGGATTGTTGTTCTCTACTTCAAAAATACTTTAGATTTTAAAATGGAAAAATGTTCTAGTTTTTTAACATATATTTTTTATTTAAAAATTCAATGCATAACATGGATGCATAAAAAACTTATTTTATTTCAGTGTTAAATTCTGTTTAAGTTACAGATTATAATTAAAAATGTCTCCCGACCTTTACTGGTTTTTTATTTTTTTATTCGGACCCAGCTGATTTTTAATGGGTTACCCCATGGATCGTACCACGTCAATGCTATGGGGGGAAATGGGGTTTTACTTTATTTGTTTTAGTTACATCTTTGTATGTTTTGTCCCATGTGTTTCTTTCATGGACTGATCAGCTGCTATTTAAGTTCCCCTTTGTCTTATTAAAGGTCAGTTTGTTTGAGTAAGTCTTGTTCTGTTACAGATATTTTGAGTACCATAGTTATGGTTCCTTTGACCTCTTTTCTGGATCCATTTTTGTACTTGTTACATCTTATATTTTTGGGTTAAATAAAAGAACCCTGTTTCTCTTTGTTTGTTTTTTTTTTTACACACACCTGTGCCTGACTGTCCTTACTGGTCAGTCCATCACAGAGTATGGAGTCAGAAATGGGTCAAAATTTTTGTAAACTTCTAAAATAGAAGTTGATATTTACTATCAAATTTTTGAAACTGAAAAAAAAGCCAACATAAAACTATTAGAATTGAATCTAGATTCAGTTTAGTATTTTAATTACACTTTTTCTTTTTTCATTTCTTTTTTATTGCAGTTTTAGATTTTAGATTTTCAAATTCAAATCCCTTTCTGTCGGTTTCTCTTTCTTTTCTTTTTTTAGTTTCACATTCCTTTTTCAGTTTCAGGATTTTTTTTTTTTTACACTTTCAAATCAGTTTTTTCCCCTTCAGATTTTACCCCAACGGGAGTGGGCGGGGAAACATGATTGACAGCTTGCAGGGGAGCTGGGGAGATGTCCCGTTCAGGAGTTATTTTAGCGCCACAAAGATCCAAAACATGAAAAATTATATTTGTGGGTAAACAGTGGGAATTTGCTGCAACTTGACAAGCCAGTTAAACACTAAAGGTTAAACAACAACTGTTTCCTGAAAGAAAGGAAGGAGAGGAGCTGGCAAAAGTTCAGAAAGCAATGAATTTGGGCATACAGCTCATTGATGATGAGGATGGAGGAGGAAGAGCACAGGTGCTGCTAATAGACAAAAAGCAGGTAGAGTGCAGTTACAGAGAATATGTGGAGCTTTAAATCGCACTAAGCACTGCTGCAGATGCTCATATTCAGAAAAGTGGTTCTAAAATAATTTCACTAGATGAAATACCTATTGATTCAAATTAATAATATTACCATATTTAGTCTTACTATATTGGTATTGATTCAAATTAGCTGAAATCAGTTAAATATAATATATTTATAGTAGCCCTACATAATCGCAATAAATGCTCTTTTTAACATCTATCTGGATATATCTGGATAAATCACATCGTGATACGTATTGTACTCACCAAATTCTTATAAATCATAAATGTCTATAGTTTATAATTGTACGTTTTACTTATTACTGCTATAAGAAGGTTATTCTTTCAGCCGATTACATGTTTCAGAGCCTGTTTACGTTATAATTAGATTTGTTTACCTATTAGTTAATGACTTTTTCAATTCATTTAATCACGATTCATTTTTTTTTTTCAGCCCTATAATTTCAAAGCACATTTTTAATAACCTTGAAGGAAAGAAAAAAAGCAACTTTTAAGGAAGATCTAAAACAAAACAACTTACCATTCACTTAGTTCAACAATAAAAAGGAAACCAATCACTGATGGTTAGTAAGATAGTAAATGAGTCAGCTTAAGTATGGAAAACTAGTTTGTCATTTGATTGTTATACACTGAAAGAAATAAACATGTCATACCATATAGGAAGTAAGCAAAATTATTAGGATTGAACCAATTATGATAAATATTGCATTTGGGTATGGTAAAAATATTCTTATTCTGAATACTACGTAGGTTTGAAATCGTTCTATTTTGTAATAAAATATAGACATTAGATGAAAGAGTTTTTACCTGCACCGCTGAGACGCGTCTTTCCGAGAACACAGGCTATCAAGACACAGAGAGTGAAGAATCGATCTGGATCCATCTGCCAGCTCTGAGATGGTTTACTGCATGTTCCCCGTAGAAACCCGTAAATACCATGATCAGAGAGAGACCTCCTGCCGCTGCTTGGCCTGCCGTCTGTTGCTCTTTCACTTTCGCTAAAATTAATCTGCGCATAAGGAAATGTCAGGGAGATTACAGAGCGAGATCACTTACGGGCTTGAAACCAAACAACGCCATATTTGTAGTTCTTTTAGTTATTTTTCAATGAAGCGCCCGATAAGCCACTGTAAGGGTTTATATATTAAAAAGAGACTTTATCTTAATAAGTAAATTGCAAAATTGAAGGAAAACTGATAAAGCTGTTCTCAAGGAAATTGAAAAAAATATGATAAATGTGAAAATTAGACTTTTCATAAGAGCTTGAGTTGATGTTACACAGGTAATAGTTATGTTTACTGAAGTAAATATAACTATATATATATAAAAATGTATTATTTATAATTTATATATATATGTGTGTGTGTGTGTGTGTGTGTGTGTGTGTGTGTATCAAATACTGACTAATAAAAAAAAAAACAACAACATGTTTTTCTATTTGGTTTAAAAAAAACTGTTAAGGTTTCAGTTAAATGAAACCCAAATGCCACCTGCTGGGGCTACAAGGTAAGTCAATCAACTTTATTTCTGCTTTAATAGTAAGCTAATATAAAAATAATAACAACAAAGGTTATAATAATCATCTTCATCCTTATTTTTAAACTGTTGTTTTTTCTGACAAAACTTTCTCCAGAGATTTTAATCATCATCTCATGTTCAAATACAAGATTCTCTAAGTTGAGAATCTTTACTCTGTATCTCAGTTAAGCTGTATATATATATATATTAACAAACATTCAGTATATAACCCTTAGCAGGGAAGTAAATGAGTAAACGAAATCAATAAAATAGAAAAAGTACTCTAAAATAACAGATTAAATGTACCAGAGGGGTTACGTACAGTATTAACTAGTTCAATGCTTGGGCTTTTAAACATTACATTTGGGAAAAATATGTTTAAGCTCTCTAGATTTAGTATGTCGTTCAGAAATTTTCAAAATATGCATAATTCTGTGAAGAATATATCAGTTTGCACATTTATTGAAAAATAAATTAAGTACTCCAGCCTGTAGGTGGCGCTAACCATTAACGTCTGTCTTATTTTCTGTTGTTCTTCCGCTGTTTTCATCAGGCATCAGTTGCGAGGGGAGGAGGTAAATCAAATGTGCCCCTAAGGCCTTTTTAACACACTTAATGTGACCATATGCTTAATATAAGTTCTTTAAAAAACTAATTAGGATATTAACTATTTTACCGCATTTTCTTTTAGGAAAAAAAAAAACGTCCGCCAGTGACGTTAGCATTAGCTTCAGTTAGCTAGCTATAGCAACCATTCAGTTAGCTCTGCTTTCTGCAGAGCTGAATGGAGCAAGCTTGCTGCTCTCATGTCCTTTATTTCTAACTTAACAGTTTAAATCAGACTAAAGACCACTTAATCAGAATTAAGCCTTCAGTCGGTGTTTGTTTGTTTGTTTGTTTGCAGGAAACCGGTCGGCAGCATGTCGCTGTACGATGATCTCGGGGTCGGTGCCAGTGACACCAAGACCGAAGGCTGGTCCAAAAACTTCAAGCTGCTCCAATCTCAGCTAAAAGTGAAGAAAGCGGCCCTGACTCAGGCTAAGGTGGGCGACCACGCTGCACAGAGGAGTTTTGCATCACTTTACCCCAGAATGCATATTTATAAACATGTTTTAGATATCTGTGTGGATGCAATAGCACGTGGTAACCTTACTTTTAACTTGCCTTTAAGTAGTTGTGTCAGTGTTTTACTTTTTCAAGTCATCATGTTTAGATTGGACTCACTTGATGAGATGACTGGAGTCTGGTGTGCTATTGCTTGGTTGGAAAGAAAACCTGCAGCCACACGGCCTTTTCTGGAACCAGTTTGACACCCATGTCCTAGAGAGACTTCTGTTGGTTCATCTCAGAAAATAAACAAGCAGCTTTCGGGACCCCTGCAGTTTGCTTATCGCCTTGGAGTTGATGATGCCATCATATATCTGCTTCAACAAACCCACTGTCATTTAGACAAGGCAGCACTGTGAGGATCACGTTCTTTGATTTCTCCAGTGCAGTAACACAATTCAGCCTGACTTACTTTGTGAGAACCTTAGAAGATCAACAATTGTCTGGATCAAAGACGACCTGAAAAAACAGACCACAATTTGCAGGACTGAAGGGTCACCTGTCTTTTTAAGTAGTCAGCAGTACAGCATTACCACAGGGGATGGTACTCTCTCTATTCATTTTTACTCTGTACACGCTTGAGTTCCAATACCAGGCAGAATCCTGTCATCTGCAGAAATACTCAGATGACTCTGCAATCATTGGGTGCATCAAAGATGGACAAGAAGCTGATCACAGAGAGCTGGTGAAGAGCTTTGAGGCCTGGTGTGGAAACTATCATCTGATCCTGAATGTCAACAAAACAAGGGATATGATTGTAGATTTCAGAAGAAACAGGAACAAGTTGAACCATGTTCACATCATAGGAGAATAAGTGGAGGTGGTTGAGGATTATAAATACCTTGGTGTTAAATTGGACAACAAACTCAACTGGAGACACAACTGTGTAGCTGTCTATAAGAAGGGACAGAGCAGACTGTATTTCCTGAGGAAGCTTAGGCCCTTTGGCGTTTGCACAAAAAAAAAAATGCTACATATCTTCTATTAGTCTGTTGTGGAGACTGATCTCTTCTTCCATTCTCTGCTGGGGTAACAGTATCGGAGCTAATGACTTTAAAAAGCTCAACAAACTAAAAAAGAAGACGAGCTCTGATCTAGTAACACTTCTAGAACCACTGGAGATTATTTCACAAATAATTAAAATGAAGAACATGATGGACAACATGGGCATTCTCTTCAGAAGATTATTAAGCAACAACAGAGTCTCTTCAGTCAGAGGCTTCTTCAGATCTGGTGGAAGACAGACTGCTGCAGAAGATCCTTCCTGCCTACAGCCTCAACACCTGGTTAAAAAAAAATATTATTGTAATATTTAATTTTTATTCATTTTTCTGAATTGACTTGAATAAGGTTCCCTAAGTTATCATATTACTTTTGTGGAAAGTAACATTTAAGCTTTAGGGAAGTATCCATTAGCTTCTGCAAAATGAGCCACAGGGAAGAATTTGTCAGCTGCTGGAAAATCACCTTGGAGTTGAAGCAAAGTAGCTGTAATGTTTGGAGAGAAAACATGAAGATTGTAGATCATGTCGTGTTTGGTATTGAGAAAAAATATCGCTGTTGTGCTGAACTGATGCATAAGTTCCAGTTATATCTATACGAGGACAAGCGTTTGATTTTAAAGCTCATTGGAAGAATATTTATACCTGTTAAAGTCGTACAGCTGATTTCTGTGATGTGCGGTTCTCTGACAGACTCAGCGTATGAAGCAGACCACCGTTTTAGCGCCGGTTATCGATCTGAAGAGAGGAAGTTCCAGCGACGACCGACTGAACACAGACACACCTCCACACGCTGCTGTTGGACTTAAGGTCAGCCTCATTATTGTCACCTTTAGATGTGATTAGTCTGGATTCAAACATTTCCCACGTATCCGTGACGTCTCATTGTGGCTCCCGTAGGATGCCGTTCCCAGCGGTTTCTCCTCCGGAGACGTGCTGATCCCGCTGGCCGACGAGTACGACCCCATGTTCCCCAACGACTACGAGAAGGTGGTCAAGCGTCACAGAGAAGAACAGCAGCGAAAGAGGGAGCAGGAGCGGCTAAAGGAGATCGAAGAGAGAGAAAAGTAAATGAATAAAATAAAATATTGTCTCACTGGCTTAAAACAAGGGGATCAGCTGAATAGAGCTGCTGTGTTTCAGGAGGAGGAAAGAGAGACATGAGAACGCCGCTCCGAGTGGTTTCTCCCGTTTCCCGGCAACAGAGGAAGACTCTGATGAAGAAGAGGAGTATGAGAAATAAGTACCTCTCACCACAAGGATGTGTTGTTTATTTAGGAATACGAAACAATAAGCTTCTATTAATTAACTCAACAATTAAAGACTAAAAGCTACGAAAAAACATAGAATGTTTTTTATTGTTATCACAATGTAATGGAGACTATGATTATATTATAGTCTGTTGTAACTGGGAAAGCTGTTCTTTTAAAGAATGGATGATTTTAGAATGGAAAGTTGAGTGGAAGGAAAAAAATGTTTTTAAGTGATTGGTGCAGGTTAAAGGGGTTTAGATTCCAGCTGAACACAGCTGTTGGCTATCAGTGTCTTATTTCTTTTCTTTAGCCTCTCCTGAACCAGGACTGGACTGTTGCTCAGTGCTGTTAGACCATCTACCAGGGAGTTTAGGAGCACTTAATGTTTCCTTCTGCTTAAAAAAACATGATGAGATTCAGCCTTTGTTTCCCAGCAGTATTTGGTGCCAACCCACACTGCCAGAGGCACCATATCTGATTCATTAGGGATGATGTCACCCTGCTTGATTGGACACTTTGTGTCCTTTGATATTTAAATAATCATTAAAGCTGATTTTTGGGTTTTCATTGCCAGAAGGCTAATTATTGACATTAACAGGTTAGAGGTTGAGATATATCAATCTGAACAGGGTTTATTCTGGATTATTTTTTAACTGTGGTTGTTTGCTAACAGTCACTTATCTGAAACTGGGCTCTAATAGTTAAAAAAAGCAACACATTAAATAATGTATGAGTTTTTTTATACGTTGCCTGAATCAATCTGCCTACATTTCATTCAACCAAAGAGACTAAATTCAGGTAAAGAAGTAATTCCAACTGTTTGGTAATGGAGTAATTTTATTAGTATGTCAGACATAAAAAAGATTATATAAAAACTATATTTACTGGATTATTTAATGTCTATGTTTTTAGCTTTGTGCATTGGCGGTACATTAGCTATGGGAAAAGGCAGCGGGTCTCCTCTCTGGTCTCTTTGCTCTAAGGCTACGTTCACACTGCAGGCCTTGATGCTCAATTCCGATTTTTATTTGTGAAATCCGATTTTTTTTGCGTAGCCGTTCTCTTTTCCAAATATATGCGACTTGTATGTGATCTCTTTTGTGAACTGGAGTCATACAATGCTAATGTCCCGCATGCGCAGTAGAGGACACAATGACATCACAGGCAAGCGTGCTCTGTGTTTACGGAAGTAAACATGGATGCTAGTGCCGGAGTGCAACTAGCGATCTTTCCCAACCATAAAAACACAATCTTTTCAAGGTGGTTAAACATAAATACTGCTCTCCGCGTCATCGTCCACCATTGTTGTTGTTTTTCTTGCCGATTCTTCATAGCAAGACCCAGAATAGTGACCACTGTGGGGTATCAATGGTGTTCAGGGCGGATGAATGTGACCTGGCCGTTCAAACACAGGTCGCTTTTGAAAAGATCAGATTCGTATCGGATTCAGGACCACATAGCCAAGCGGCCTGGGTTGCATTGGAAAAAATCAGATCTGTGTTGTTCAGAAAGTCATGAAAAGATTAGATCCAGGTCACATATGGGCAAAAAACTTGGATTTGAGTCGCTTCAGGCTGCAGTGTGAATTTAACTTCATGGTGTTGCCTTTTCCTACATGACAGCCAGAGGTGTCAAAGCTATTAATGTTTATTACTCAAGTAGAAGTATAAATCCTACTGTTTAAAAACTCTTTTATAGAAGTTAGAGTATCAAATTAAGAATTTTATTCTAGTAAAATTGTAAAAGTACATTTTTTTTAAAGCTTTTTAAAGTATAAAAGTAAAAATAACGCAGGGAAAATATTAAAGACAGATGCTTTGTTGCACTACCCAATTAAAGGAACCTTTTTCAATAATTCTGGATGAAAACTTTCTTATACTTAGTTTTATAACTAATGTTAACAGGGTCAAGTTTAACTTTGCATCATCTTGGAAAAAATATTTATTTTTGTATGTTGGGGCAGCACCGACTCCAACCACAAACACATGAATTGTCTGGATGAAACAAATCATATTGTTGTTTTTATTACTACCTTTTTTTTTTTTTATATATACCAACAGTCCATAACGAAAATTAGGTTAAATTAAACAAAACTAACGAGTTTATTTTTAGAATTTAAGGAGTAGAAAGTAGAGATAATTGCAAAAAAAATATAAGGAGTAGAAGTAGAAGGTTTTCTAAAAAAAAAATTTAATCTGATTAAATATAGCCAAAATTACTACTTAAGTAAGATAACAAAGTATTTGTTCTTTGATACTTGACATCTCTGGTGACAGGTGAGGGAAGGAAAGAGACGACAGCAGCTCTCGCTCATGTTGTTAGACAGAAACCGTAGAATGGTGGCTGCTTTCATGTGAAGTCTTTAAACGAGTAAAAAACTGAAAAAAAAGCTCTAAGATTTGTCTCTAATCATTTTTGTTGTTTTTAAAAAGCGAAAACTGAAAAGTCTCCAGATGTAGCAAAAAAGTTGGCAACAAAACGCCATCGTCTGTTTTCCTTTCTAGTGCAGCTCACTGTAGCCACCAGCTAGCCTCATACACTAAGCAGCTTCAAAGCGACGCAGACAGGAGCTGGCAGGCTGGTTTTTCAAAATAAAGTCAATTTGAACATTTCAGATTCATTTTAAACTTTGATTATAATTAGAATAAGTTCAAAACTACTGTATACATAAGTTAACATTGTTTAAACTAGTGTTTTTTTTGCTTTTTATCTTGAATGTGTGGCGGCTTGTATTCTACTGCCATGAAAAGCAGAAAAAACTGTTTTATAAATAGGTTTCACTTTCAATGAATAACTGAATTAAATAAACTGGTTGATGAGGTTCTTAATAATGTGTTTTCTAGATAACTTCAGACAAGAGATGTCACTACAACCTGAACAGGGTTTAGGTCAATGTTTAATGACAGCTCTTAGATTTACTACCGTCTCTTGTCTTTAAGCTCCATTTAATCAAAGCCTTTTAAACCTAGAGAAATGATCAGAGTTATGAAGGTTTGCTCAAACTACCAAATTGACCCCTAAAAACACAGAATCTGTTTATTTATTATAATAGGGAAAGTTGCTAAAAATGAAATCATTAAAGTGATAAAACAGCTGAGTTTGTTTTTCTTTGTTTGCAGGTATCGGTGGAGCAGCTATCGCCCCTCCTTCATCACTGGTAGACAGAGATGGTAAATGTGATGAGCCATCAGGTGAAACATTGACTGATGGATGCACAGTGGCTTGCAAACCGCTTCACACCCCTTTATTTACTGATCTAGCTTTTATTTAAAGTAAGAATAAATATAATAAAAAGAACTGAAAAGGAAACGTATAACGTATAAAGACTCTAAAATGTGTCTTTAGCTGACAGAGAAACCCAACATGAGCAGCAATTGTAACTAAATTGTTAAAAAAAAAACAAATATGTAAACATTTTGCATTTAAGATTAGTCTATTAATCAAAAAAATAATTGACAGATTAATCGTTTAGTAAAAATAATCTTAAGTTGCAGCCTTAATAATATGTAATGTAAAGTTTTATTTTGAAAGGTCCAAAGCTTGGTCCCTGTAGAAATGTTTTCCCCGATTCTGGAGAACTGAGCTAATTGGTCAGTTAATTAGGTATGAACATTTGGCAAGGCACTGCACTAGTAAACAATGTCATGAAATGCATTTAATATTCCAGCAGGGGGCAGTATTGTTCCTAAATCTCCACCAATTCTCCCAGCTCTGATTGTTTTCTGTTTTTTTTTTTTTTATTGCTGTCTTTAGGACCCTCTTCATACTCTTATGAAGATGAAGGTCGTCCACCAAGAGGTGGAAAGGCGGCCATTCCTCCTCCCATTTATGAGGATTCGGATCGTCCACGTTCCCCGCCTGGACCAACCAGCTCCTTCTTAGCCAACATGGGGTTAGTCGATCTGGATTCTTTCTTTATTTAATCTGTTTTTTTTGTTTAGATTTATTCATAGTGGACTGTAGAGCATTGGCCTAATAAATGGTCCTCTTACAGTGGTACGGTGGCCCATAAGATCATGCAGAAGTACGGCTTCAAAGAAGGCCAGGGACTGGGAAAGCACGAGCAAGGCCTGAGCACGGCGCTGTCTGTGGAGAAGACCAGCAAGAGGGGCGGAAAGATCATCATTGGAGACGCTGCAGAAAAACGTATGTTGTTTTCTGCTGTTTGTGTTGCTTTTTACTACATATCATGTTTGATCTATAATCTACATTTAACAGCTTTTCCTATTTTCTGTTGCTGCACATTTGAGCTGCAGTGATTGAAACAGCTTCCTAACTGTGACTCTGTGTTCATGTCTTTTATTTCTGTGGGAGCAGCAGGTTCCAGCCAATCGGGCGCTGCTGATGCTTCAGGCGGAGCCGCTATAGGTTGGCCTTCACTCCTGTTTTCTACTCTTATATGTTGTCCTGTTTTGTTAGTATGGAGTAAATTATGTACCATTAATATTACAAGCAAAG